AAAGAAAGAAAGAAAGAAAGAAAGAAAGAAAGAAAGAAAGAAAGAAAAGAAAGAAAGAAAATCAGCAAAAGGAGTTATAAGTAGCTGTCTTTGATGCGGGAAGCAGACCAGGGGACTATTTTTCATCACAAGCCTTATGGAACTGCTTGATTCTTTAAAAAAAACGTGTGTGGACCATCTCACCAAAAACAGAAACCAAAGAGAAATGAAGGTAAACAGAAAGTGCAGAAGTGATGGTGGCATGTGTAGACAAGTGTTTTGAGATATTTGGTTCTAAAGGGGAACAGAAAAGTGAGGTAGTTTGGGTCAAGGGTGGGTTTTTTAAAGATGGTACAGGGAGCACATTTGGCATGAGACTTGTCTACCAAGAGAGAGACTGGTGGTGCAGCAGAGGGAGGATTCCAGAAGGAGTGAAGTCCCTGGGGAGATCAGAGGGATGGGATCCAAAGCCCACAGGGTGGGGACAGGTGTTGATATGGGAGGAACACCTCCTTCCCTGGAATAAGAGGGAACAAAAAGATAGACGCAGACACAAATAACATTACAGAATTTGTTGCGACCCTGCCTCTTGCCTTGTCAGGCCTCAACAAGATACCCAGAGTGGAACCCAATGCAAGACACTGGCAGTTATCCGAGGAGTAACACACACAGCATCTCCAGGCGTGTTCCTGGTTCTTTCAACCCTCCCACGGTGTGGGATGCCAAACTGCCTCTGCTCGATGAGTAATTCTCCCACAATGGATGTATTAACCTTTCATCTCACAGGAATAAGCACGTCTACCTTTGAAAATAAAGATGTCCACTGGTAAGGTGCTGGATTCAATTTTCCGGGGCGGGGGGTGGGGGGGCTGGGGAAACCCTCCTGCTGCAAAACGACTACATCCCAGATAAAAGCATACTTACTGATGCAACACTGGGCTTGTAGGAAATCGGGGAAATTGCTGAGGGACCCCCTCCCTGCAAAAAAAAAGGAGCAAACCATAAGTGGAACTTAATGCTGCAAGCAGGGATCAGGCAGGGAAGAACAGAACTGTCCTCGGAGCAAATGGTGGCAGCCGAGGCGCGATGCAGATGCCCTTGAGCCAGCAGCCTGGAGGGGGAGCCGAACCTTGGACTCTTCCATTAGGCCACAACTGTGGAAGAGGTCTGAGTGGTTCCAAGTTAGCAGCGCTCAGCAGAAACAGAAGCAAATCCTTCCAGAAGAGAGCACCCCCGCCCCCGCCCTGTTTAAACCTGGAAGATTCCCACAGATGAAGATCTAACAAATGTGAGCGCGCGCGCGCACGCGCGCACACGCAGAGATTGGCAGGCCAAGGAGGGGCAACAATGAGCATGAGTGACAGTCAGCAGGCACATCTTCATGAAAAGACAGGAAAAGGAGATTAAAACAAACAAACAACAACAACAACAACAACAAAAACAACAAAACCCTGTCTTGCTTACCCACATTTGGCCTTCGGAACGCATACCACAACCGTCTGAGTTCTTACTACAATGCACATTCCTGGGCCCCATTCCAGGCTCACGGAGCCAGGCCTCTGGCACTTGAGCCTGGGAATCTGCATTAACCCTCACTCCCCACAGAAAGAAAACCAGACTCGCAGACCTGGCTTTCCTTCCCACAATCACATTCCTACAGCTTTTATTGTTCACTCATTCATCAAGAAATGATCACAGCAGGCCCATCCATTCAAAAACCTAAAGGGAAACTTAAGAAAATAGCTAAACAAAAGAGCACCCCCTAGTGCCAGCACAGGGACCAAGTTGGCCTGGATGCTGTTTCTCCCCTGTTAGAAGCAACAGGGACCTCGTCTATCCAGCCCCTGAGCCCTTGGAGCCGTCACTGTGCTGGAATCCTGGTCACATGTCCGTGACTGTAGTGCATACAATACTGTGATTGAAGACGATGGGAATTGGGGACCATAATAACCACCGATGTCATAGCTTAACGTAGACTGTGTTCACCAGGCATTTAGAAGTGCTTAGAAGATCCATGGTGGGCTTTCAGGAGACTACAGGAGGGACTGGGAGAACTCACTCCAAAGGAAGATAGGCATAGGCTGGGTCCAAATAATGAGCTCATTTCAAATAGAGGACTAATTTTGAGTACAACAGAAGCTGATTCTAATTTACTTGGCCCAACCCCCAAGGCCCTTATCCTGGGGTAAGTATTGGACAAAAATGAACCAAGAAAAAGGACAAAGAATGCAAACAAAACATAACACTGCCTTGAAATCGTGTATCTTTTTTTTTTTTTTTAATTTTTTTTTTTCAACGTTTATTTATTTTTGGGACAGAGAGAGACAGAGCATGAACGGGCTCTGGGCTGATGGCTCAGAGCCTGGAGCCTGTTTCCGATTC